CTCATTTTGGCTACAGGCTTCCTTTGGGGAAGAATAGCATCTGACCTCTGGAACCATGGCCTGCTGCTCCTAGTAAGAGCTTTCCCGAATGGCAAGCTAAAGAAGAGGTCGGCCCATTTGTTCTGTGAAGGGCCAGACAATAATATTTTAAGCTTCATGAGTCTTTTCACAACTCTGCTGTTGTAGCGACAATATGTAAATGAACTGGTGAGGTAGTGTTCCAATAAGATTGTCTTTACACAAACAGGTGGGAGACTACATTTAGCCCAAAGGCCACTTTGCTGACCCGGGGTCCAGTTTTACGTTGTGATATTCCCCGTTTCTCACATCACAGTAGTCATTTCCCTCCACCTATCACTCCTTGGTGTGCACAAAAGGCCAGGGGCCATTGAGAACTTTGGCTCTGAATGTTACAGGTGCTCCCACTGCGGACAGAATGGCAGAAGAGCCTTAGTTACCAGGACCTGGGGATTCACAGCAGTACGATTAGAGGAAGGAAAGGAGGATTATCTGCCAGAGGATAGTATTCTTTTCCTGGAACACTCATTTGACGTAGTAAAATTGATGTTACAGACATGGTTTAAAACAATGAATAGTTCTTGCAGTAATGAAGCGGATAGCTAATTAGTTAACCGTTTACCAAGTGGACTGAAGAACACTTTGCCCAAAAGGTGGGTTTTTGTTGTTCTTATTTTGATCCAAGGGAAACTTCACTCTCAGGAATCTTTGTTATTTGGTGTGACAATCCTAAGTTAGTAACAAAGGATTTCTTAAAGTTTTGCTCATGTATTTTTAAGGCATAGTGTTTCTGGACTTCCCTAAATTTGCAAGCCTAGCCTGGCTGGTGTTCTGGCAGAAAAGTTGCAGTATACTTGTGTGTTGGAGGAAGTATCCCAGTCAGTGAGTCAGGCTGTGTCTAAATAGAGTAAGCATCTCAGATATGAAACTCGGAGGTGTCTTTAAGGAAAACAATCCCTTTAACTGTTGGTTAAAGAAACATACATTGCTAAGGCTGCTCTTTTGAAATGTCTTACTGGGTGGGCCGGACAACAAGCTGATGGAGGTTTTTAAGAACAGCTTAGACACTGGAGAATAACGTTCTAGGCCGAAGTCGCTCTTATTGGCACTGGACCGTGCCTGACCGGCAATCACCTCCATAAAAACATCTCCTGGTCCTTACGAACCACATAGCAGGAAAACTAGGGCAACAAGGTGTGCCAGCAACTGGAGTATTCAGCTTCTCTGTCAGTCATATTCTGTGTTTTGTACCAAAACCAAACAAAAAAAGCAGCACCTCAGTACCGTCAAATCAATTACTACTCCTAGTGACCACTCCTCGGGTTTCCAAGACAGTATTTCTACAGAAGTAGATTGTCCCATCTTCCTTCCAAGTAGTGGCTGGTGGATTTGAACCACCTCCTGGTCAGTAAATGCCTTAGGCACTACGTGCAATAAAATCAAACTAAGTATCCCACATGATACCTTTTGGATTGAATTGGACTATTATAACTAGAATACTTGAGACACTCATCCTTTCTATCGGCCTAGGTCAAATCAGGACATAGAAATTCAGTAACTGAACCAGGGGATATTTCATAATTATCCAACTATGAAAAAAAGCCACTATGATGAGGAATTAAATACAGGTTCTAGGGCTGAGTGAGGGTACTCAAGAACAAAAATCTTGGAAAGGGGTTGCTAGCCAGCTTGAAGGCTCAGACCTTGTTGAGGAAGGTGTAGCAAGTGACCACTCAGCGTCAGAAAAGTTTGTTAGTTTGCCTGAGCCAGATTTGGTCTACACTGGGCAAGAAAGACGCACCCTTCTTGAACGGGGTAGGGTGAAGATAGGCCTCACACAGTGTGTCAGTCGTGGAGTGAGTGGCACCCTGGTAACTCTGATATACACAGGCAATAGGCAGGTACAGTAGACAGGCAGAGAGGCTGAAAGTGAAGCACGGGGTTTAGCACTGGACGACTGGGATACTAACTTAAGAAGGGGTAAGTCACCAGAGGGACTCAGGGCTCTGGTGTGAGGCAGAGCTATGGAGAGTGCATGGTGTGCATGGGGCTCCAAGGTCCTCACCAACCAGAGTATGGGCTTGCGAGTGGGATAACAAGTCACCAGCCATCCTCCCACGCACACCACTGACCAAAAGTCAGCAGCAAACCCCTTTCCTTTCTCCCTAGTTTCTCTCCATCCTCCTTTACAAGAAAGCGCAACATCATGCTCCCTGATTCCAACCATTATCACAGCACATGTGTTGAATAGTGAATTTTGGTAACTGGCAGTTCCCCTCCTTGGTTACTCAGCTTCCACATGTAACCCTCTACACACATTTGAACCCCCACACAACAAAATTCTGTATTTCTACTTAACAAGATTTATTCAGCCTCCTAAGGCCGCCCTTTTAACCATGAGATGGGTCAGGGTCAGAGTCCCAACTGGCATTGCATCCATCATTTGGCTCTATGACTTCTTCCTCACATTCAGGGTATCACTGAACAGTTGCAGACTAAATCATGAAGTTCACCTCCTATATCTTGTGCCCAACATTGGAAGGCAACAGAGAGAGACTAGCGATTAAATGAACTTGTATTTAATAAGCATGGAGAAAGTGTGCAGAACTATTTCCTTGTTCTCCAAGCTGATCATGAGGTCCTGGCTCAATTATAAATTTGATCTTTCCCTTGCCCTCAGCATCAGCCGGCGTGGGGTATTTACCCGATGGAGTAACGTAACACAAACCTTTGCTCCCACAGGGCCCAAGTCCTAAAATGGCCTGTTCTGTTCTTTCTCCCCCACCCCTTTCTGCGGTAGCATTCCATTAACCTTTACTATCGGCCACGTGTGCTAGGCAGAATACCACCACCCCACTCACCCAGCAAAGATGCCCTTGTCCTAATTCTTAGAATCGGAATATATTAAGACAAAAACAAATTATGGCTGGAGATGATATTGAGATCGCTAAGTAGTTGACATTAAGATATAGAGATATCCTGGATAATTCACCACTACTGGGTGGGCACAATGTAATCACAAAGGTCCTGGGACAGTGGGGGGGGGCATTGCCCAACTCCTCGAAAGGAAGGTTGGGCAATCCTACTTCCGTAGTGATACTGCCTTGGAAACCCAAGGAGGGGTCACTATGAGTCGGGGCCGACTCGACGGCAAACAAAAACAACTGGGTGGGCACAACGTAATCACAGAGGTCCTGGGACAGTGGGGGAGCAGAAGAGGGACAGCCAGAGAAACAGCGGTGTAAGGACTTAGCCTTGCACTGCCAGCTGTAAAGCTGGGGCTATGATCCATCAGGTAATGGGGACGGCCTCTGGAAGATAGAAAAGGCAAGGATTGTCCCCTAAACAGGATCCATCTCTACCAACACTTTGATTTCAGCCCATGATATGCACTTTGGTCTGTGACATCCAGAACTATAAGTAATAAATTTGTATTCTTTAAGCCACTGAATCTGTGGTAATTTGCTTAAGCCAACACGGCAAATTGAGTATTATAAGAAATTTTTCTTTTACCATGGATCACCTGGAAACTTGACCAATAAATTCCAATACCGATATACATCCATACAAACAACTACAGAGTCATTGAAAAAGTTTTAAAGTCTTTTATTTGAAACAAGCAATTAACAGAATATGTAGATTATATTTAAGCAGTCATTGACACAGAGAAGCTGTAAATATCTGCAATTAATTTTCTAAAGTTGAATACAGAAGACTCTCCAAGGAGTCCCAGGTCAAGTTCAGGTAAACAATACGTTTTAAGGCAATTCAAGCACTATACCTTGAGAAGAGATACAAACAGCAAAAAAGAGCTCAAATCACTGACAAGGATAAAGGCTTTCTAGCAGGTTAACAGAGGGAAGGAATCATCGTCTGGAGAGCAAATCAACTCTCCACCTGCAGGAAGTTAGGGAGCTGAGCCCTGTGGGCATCAGACCGGGCTGGCTTTGAGAAAAATGGGGGATACTCATCCTGGGCTTCAATCCTACCCTACCGACGTACGCCAAACAAGTTTCAGAGGTTACCAGCTTTGTTTACCATTTTTTTTTTTGCCAATACCTTAGAAAAACAAACCCAATGCTAATCAGTTAATTCAAACTTAGACAAAACTGCAAAAAAAAAAAAAAGGACAATAAAACTAACCCCCATCCCCCCCAAACTGGCTTTCAACTGACAGCAAACTAAAAAAAAAAAAAAAAAAAAAAAAAAAAAAAAAAACTAACACGCCCCCCGGGGGGGAACTGGCTTTCCAACTGATAGCAAACTAAATAATAATAATAATAATAATAATAAAAGACAGAATAAAACTAACCTCCCCCCAACTGGCTTTCAAGGTTGTAAATGTTTAAACCAGGAGAAAACTGCCACATCTTGCTCCTACATGCCAAGACCCTAGGAACTGTTAGTTTCTTTTTACCAAACTGTATGATTAATCAGCACCAAAAAGATTTTATGTTTTGATTTTAGTAAGTTTATAAAAGGGAAAATTCATGTGAACAGAAGAAACAATAAATGTCATCAAAACCCTTTACCAGACAAGCAATTCAAACATACCTAACAAGATACACTGATACTCTACACAGCAGTGGTTCTCAAACGTTATGAACATCAGACTCTCTACCACATCGCTGGGCTCCATGCCCCAAACTTCTTCTGATTTGTACTAGCACTGGGGTGAGACCTGAATAGCTGCATTTCGGCTGAGCTTCCTGGTGGTGTTGCTGGTTGGAGGACTGGACTTTTTAAGGCCACTGCGTTAGAATGTGGAAAGCACCATTCTACATGTGGACGGGAGATGGGTGCTTATCAGTCCGACATGCAAGGTGTCTTGTGGAAAATTAGAATAGAGATTCACTCAAAAGGGTAAATGCTGTGTGAACTTGGGTCCTGGGTTAATTGTTTCTTCATCTCTGGATGCAGCTCAGAATTGTCCCTGCACAGAAGTCAACACATCTGTAAAAGAAAAGTGAGAGGCCCTTCTCTTATTTCTCAGATTTCTTCTTTGCCGGTTTGGTGGGAAGCTGGGAATTCCCTACCCTTTTCAAGAGCTCTTCAAAGATGTCCTTGTGCATGTAAAAGAGGATGTACCCTGGAGAAAGGTAACCTTCCCTCGTGGAGATATCTGGTGTGATAGATACTTGCAGATCACTGAAGGAGACCCAAATCTGCTTCTCAAAGTCGAAGACATCGGTAACATAATGGCCTGAATCCAGGTTAGTCCCCACATGGGTGATGACACTGATGAGCCGATAGGTGGTAGAATCATCTGTCTTCTGGGCTTTTCTTTGTGCTCCTTCTCCTGCTCCTCGTTCTGCTTTCGCTTCTTTCTTCTCCTGACCTAAACCACCTCTCTTTCTGGGCTTCTTGGAATCCCGTGCACCTGAGGATTTCGCTTTAGCCTCCAGGACATTGGGCTTCTTACGCTTTGAAGACCGTGTCCGCTGAAAGATTTGCTCACAAGGTATCATCTGATCAGAATCCTGACCCACTTGTTGGGATTTTTCTTGAATTCTGGCACGTTTGGAATCTAACTCTGAAAATGTGTTGGTTTCCTTCGATTTTTTAAGCTCTGGATTTTTAGGCCCCCGTCGTCGACGACGAGCCCCTGCAAGACCTGCGCCTCGGCGGCGGGCAGGTTTATTTTCATCTTCATGGGCCACAGAAAGGGAGGGGTCTTCCCGACACATCAATGAATCACCTGCTGCCAGCATCTCTTTTTCACTGGCTGCCCCTAAATTGGAGCTTAACGCTTCTGATTCTTTTACCCTCTGCTTAGAACCTTTATTTGGGGTTTTATGCTGCTCTTTCCTGCCTGGCCTTTCTGGTGATTCAGCTTTCTTGTCTGATCCAAGGGATGGAGTAAAGGAATTTTTAGATTTCGAGGCCAATAGTGTTGAAGGTTTCGGTGGGCTGATGATTCTCGAAACCATTTCTTCAACTACTTTTTCACCTTCCTGATCCTCTCTATCTACAGGCTTTTCCAGGGGAAGAGGTGGTTTAGTGTTTTCGTGGCAATAGGAAGATATGCATAACTGCTTGGGAATAAAGACATTCTGGATATTCTTTCTTATGGACGAAACATGACTAAAGCGATAGCGTTTCAGATGAAGGATAAGGATCCTGGGTAGCCTATTTAATCTGTGGAACGCAAGTGAACTCATGTGGTCACAGTGCCCACATTTATACTCAAGCTCTTCTGATGCAAAATGACAATCCAACGTTACCTGAAGAGATGTTGGACGTGATTTTGGTGTTTTGGGAAGATTTACAGAGATATAGCTAGTCTCTTCTTCCCTAACAACCACGTGATCACAGGATTCACAAACAATAGTGCTCTCCAACCCAAGCTTAAAATTATTGGAGACAGGACAAACGATCTTAGCCTGTTGAGGTGGATTTCCTTCCTGAAATCCAGAGTTAGTCTCCGAAGCTGTATTTAATTTTTTCACATGCTCTTTTATCATATCCAAGCCAATGCCTAAAAACTCATGAGCATCATTCTGATCGTCATCAGAGAAGACATCAGAAACTGCTGAAATGGCTTTCTTCATGTTTTTAAGTAATTTTGTCTTGACTTTCTGGTTGTACAACTTTCTCAAAACAAGCAGCTGAATCAGGCACAAGGTAAAACCATCAAAGGGAATTTTACCCCAGGAAATACTCTGCTTGAGCAAGTCATCACAAAATGATGGTATTGAAAACAGACACTGTAGGACTGAATTCATATAACAAGTGTTGCCCAAATTGGGGAGGCCTTGCCATTGTTCCTCTGGGACAAGTGGAAAGGACAGCTCATGTTTCTGCCACTCTTTTAGCTTATCCTGGTTATACTTTGGGTTGAACAAAAATGCCTTAAGACTTTGAGGAGGGAGTATTTCCATAAGATGAGTGCTAATCAGGTGAGGATTTTGAATAGGCCTGGCCAGGGGACAAGCTGGTTTCTCCTTGTCTCCTAACTCTAGTAAATCCAACTGTTTTCTCTTAGAGCGGGTTACATACCTCATGGGATATAAAGTGGATTTCTTGGTAAGTACAGACTCATTGTCTTGCATGGAGTCATCATCCATTTCTGGATCAGATGATTTTCTTTTGCTCTTCCCATATTCACATACTGATGACCTTGTGCAGACACGACTTGAAGATGCTGTGGAAGACATCTTCTGGGGGACAGGACTCCCATATCCTTTTGCTGCCTGAGATGATCTACTTTGTGACTCATTACCATCTTCGTCAGAGGAAGTTTCCTTTTCCTCCCGTGCTGTTGTTCCAGAAAAGGCACCCTCATCACCACCAGGTTCCACAGATGGTGGAAACTTGTTTTCATAGACCAGGTCCAGGACTGTCTTCAACTGTTCGGCATTGCTGTCAGATAATTTATCAATAACTATGAAGGTGTTATCTTGGAAAGTTATGTGCATGTAACTGTTGTCTTCTTCACGGGCTCTGACCACCACACTTCTGAGATTATCAGTTAGCCGGAAGCGCTTTATAACATCTTCAGCACTAAAATGGATCACCAGTTTAACGTGCTTCTTTCTTTCTACTATTTCAATGAACGCGTCTTTTGATCTGGGCATTGGAGCCGTCTCGCTCCATATTTGGACAGAACCGGGTACCAGCAGAGTTGTCATGATTTTGCTACAAGTAGAAAACTCACAGCCTGAATTACTGACAATCTGTAAGTCCCAATTTGTTCTGCAAGTCCACCTGTAGACACACAATGCCAAATAAATGGTCCTTCAGTCCCCTATCTTGAATAATCCTGTCTTCCAATGTTGGTTTTATACCAGAGTCTCTTCAGGTTCTGGATTCTGGATATCTAGCTCGCTGCTGACGAGTCCAGTACCTTTGCAGAATTGTCAGTGATCACCAAAGGGCAGAGTCCTGATGATTATTCCCAAGGCAAGGCACTACGGGAAAAATCAAGAAAGGTTAATGAAGCTATCAGAGAAATGCTTGATAAAACTCAAAACTGTACTCCCATACACTAGATCCACCAAAATACTAGATTACACTCTAATTTCTCCACTTCAGTGAAAGCATGAAACACTTGGAAACCTTTCAATGCACAGCTAGAGACCTTACTAAACAGCAGTGTCTTCAGTATGTGCACATAAAATGATCCGCCTGTAATCTAATGGGCCCCCAGGCTATGCCCAGTAAGTGATGAAGTGGCCCTCAACCCCAAAACAGGTTAATATCTCTCGATGCATCAAAATCTAGAGGACTTTAAACATTGACCACTCAGAGTAAAGAAGCCTATCTCTTTCCAAATCTAGTTACATTCCTTTCTTTCAAGTGGCACAAAGGTAGTCCACACATTCTACCTAACCAAATTAAAAAACAAACCCATTTCCTGGGAGTTGATTCCAACTCAAGCTGATCCCATGTGTTACAAAGTAGAACTGCTTCCAATAGGATTTTCCTGACTTTAAACTTTACCAAAGGAGCTCTAGTGGCATAATGGTTAAAGTGCTCAGGCATCAACCAAAAGGTCAGCAGTTTGAATCCACCAGCCACTCCACAGGAGAGAGATATGGAAGTCTGCTTCCAAGAAGACTGACAGCCTTGGAAACCCTAAGGGGAAGTTCTACTCTGCCCTACAGTGTTGCCGACTTGGAGTTGACTCAAGGAGCAGGAATCAACTCAAAGGCAACACGTTTGTGGTTTTTTTTTTTTTTTTTTTTTGCTTTTAATCTTTACTGCAGCAGATCACCAGCCTTTCTTCCTAAGAGCCACTAGGTGGGTTCAAACTGCCTACCTTTGTTAGTAACAG